CCCCAAAACCCCAAAACCCCAAAACCCCTTGAAATTGGTTAGAATTTTATTTTACAGTTGAGGAATATTTAAATTGCTAATTTATAAATTATGAAAGAGAAAATTGAAATAGATGCATTATTCATGCCTCACTTAATAACTATATGATAAATTACTAATAGCAAAATTTTTCAATACTATTGGTCCAGATCTGACTCTCTCTGTTATATAGAACTTCTCAAATAGTATCTGTTCTATTGAAAAAATTTATTATTCTCAAATTCTTGGCTTTTTTCAGATGATTCTTTAGTGGAAAGAATTGGATTGCCTTTTATATTTTTAGCTGATGAAAGTTTTTTGTTTAGTACGACCTCATCTTAGTGTGATATCTACTCAACATTCCTGAGGTATTCTTCCTCAGCCTCAAGTTCTGCTTTGGTTCTGCTCTCTTTCATCTGCCAGTTCCATTCCTTGACATTATTACCCTTTAAGACCATCTCATACATGTACTCCTCTGACTCGTAAAGTTCACTCAACTGTTATTTTGTGTATATCTTGGCTTGTCTCTGATACTCATCCTCAGAGATTCTCTAGACAAAATGGCGCGAATTGATTCCATCATATTTAGTATTAGCATTTTAGTTGTCTGATCTTTGTTTCATTAATAGGATTGAGAATAATATTCCTAGAGCTAGACAAATTAAAGCAAATAAGTCAGTTTCGTCACTAAATATTTTTTCTAACCTCCCTCCTCTGAATAGCCAAGCTACCAATCCTTCTTATTATGATGAGCTGTAATGATCATGATTTCTATGTTCTGAGTTATAATGCTAATCATATGCTTTTTGTCCTTCTATTTCAGTTCTTTAACTAATTTTATATAATATTGTTGCTGAAATCGCTCCAAATATTATTATAGCCTTTGCTGACATGAAAGGTTGTTGTGATATGTGCTATTGTGGATGAGAATGACTCATATTCCTAATTGACCTTCTTTATAGATGATTGTAAAATTTATTTGATTATTAATTTCATTTTATATTTCTTCTCAAGCAATTTCTCTAACTAAACACTATCAAACTACTTTAGCATACTGGGGTTTTGGGGTTTTGGGGTTTTGGGGTTTTGGGG